GGCAAGGAGCCAAGGAAAGCCAGCTGGAAGAAAATGGTCTCAAGTGCTTCAGAATTTGATTTCTTCTTTCCCTGACACAATCTCCAACCAGGTCGGAAGTCAATGGGACTCTCCCTGGCACTGTATTGCAGGCCTGGAGAGTGCGGCAGCTATGTGGGTGGGAGGAAGGCAGAGCTTGGGGGTTCAGGAAAGGCAAAACGAGGAGAAGCTCTGGAGATGGGTCAACGCCCAGGAGACCTGGGGACAGTGGACCTTATTAGCTGTGGAGACAAACCCCTCAAGCCTAAGCTGCTAGGGACTTATTCCAGCTTTCCTCTGGGAGCAGCAGATACAACTAAAACTCACCCCCCTTCCGGATGCCCCCAATGCCTGTCAAGGTGGACAGCTGGGATGTCCATCCTCTCACTTTTTGCACTTTAGGGAGAGATTGCTCACATCAAGGCCTTTCAAAGCAGGGTTTTAGTCCTACTCAGGACTGCTGGCATCAAAGCCATAACATCTATTATATGATTTTAAAACTCTTTTTATCTACTTAGGAATAACTGGAGATGATAGAAAGTCCAGGCGCAGGTATCTAACTGGGACCGACCTGAGGCTGGGAAGGGTGGGGGGAGGGAGGGATGGAAAGAGGATGGGTAACAGGTGCTGGGGTGCAGCTGGACAGGAGAAATAGCTCCTAACGTTCTATAGGATAGTAAGAGAACTATGGTTGATGACAGTTGAATGTTTCACAAGAGCCAGTAGGGAGGATTCTGAATGTTTCCAACACAAAGCAAAAATAAATGTTTGAGGTAATGAATATGTCCATTACCCTGACCTGATCATCACACATTGTACACAGGTATGGAAATGTTACACTGTACCCCATAGGTAGGTACAATATTAAGTCGATTAATAGTAACAACAGATCTAACTTAAAGCACCACTCCTGAGTCTGTTGATTTGCATGTTGAGAAAGGGGGCGGGCACTCCTGGCCAGTCAGACTGGAAGAATCAGCTTTCGGGATCCAGTGGCACCTTATAAAACAACATGACTTTCCCAGCCACGTTTAGTTATTTAACTACTTCTCCTCGCAGCTGAGTTTCTTTAAAACTTCCCTCTCTATCTCCCATCTCCCTTTCCTAATCCCACTCATTCTCCAATTTACTACCATTCCAGCTCCTTGGGAACGAGGGTGTCATGCCCAGCATGGAACTTTCTGGTCCTCACTTGGCTTCACCTGTTGGCAGCATTTGGCATTATTGCTCAAGTCTGCTTTTGACACTTTCTCTTTATCAGGCTCCTCTTCTGTTCTTTTTGCCTCTGTTCTCTTCCTACCGCTGTGACTCCATCATGTTATGGGCTCCTCCTCATTGGTCCCTGGCTGGAAATGATGAGAGCAACTCAAGAGGCACATGGTCAGACCCTTTACTTCACATATATACGTGTAGCCTAGGCTATTTTAACTACATCCATGGCTCAGCTATTGCCTCATGATTTTTTTTTTCTCTCTCATATCTCTCTCCAGCAGACCTTTGCCACTGGTTACCTCTTTTCATCGTCTTGTCCATCTCAACCTGATACTCCTCAGATACTGAGATTCAACATGTCTGAACATGAGCTCACCATTTTCCTTCCTCAGTTCCTACCTTCCCCTTTATTGCATGAATGACACTACCATTCACTAAGTCACTCAGGTTAGAAATTCAAGTTTTTCTTTCTTTCTCATTCCCCATGTCCAAAGACTGAGCAAGCCCTATCGATCCTACATCTTAGATACCCCACTGTCTTCTCACCCTCATCTCCACCATCATTGTCTAATGAAGGTGCCTGTCATTATTCTATTCATCTGTGATAGTCTTCTCACTAGGGTCTTGGTCCTCCTGAATGCTGCTAGATGGTTCAATGGCTGTCTATCCCTCTTGGGATAAAGCTCCCCATTGGTAGTATGCAGGATCTCTTCCTACTTCTCCAACCTCATACAGCCCTCTGTTCTTCAGCCACAGGGAACTGCCTGTCGTGGCCCCAACGCATCATTCGCTCCATGCTGTTATGATTTGCCTTGAGCAGTCTATTTTCTCTTTTGCCTTAATCCAATCCCACTGCTCACCTATTCCTGTGACTTCCCCAGGTGAAGTGAAATGCCCTTCTTCTGGGCTCCAGAAGCACTTGTTACATGGTCTTACAATTAGTAGTTATTTTGCCTTTCTCCCCACTAAACTGTGAGCCCTTTGAAGAAAGTAGAAGGCTGTGTCTCTCATTTCTGAATTATCAGCATCTGGAGTAGTGCCTGGCTCATAAGAGATTCTAAAACATCCTACCTGAATAAATAATATTATAATTTAAATTTAAGCATGAGATTTATGGGGTTGTGGGTGAACTCAAAAGCAATAGGTATGAGACCATCCCTTTCAATATATTAAATTCATAAAACATATTTTTTGGGGCGGGGGGGTGCATTCTGTCAAGATTTTCTGTAGAAACCTACAGAAACAACAGAAAGGAGAACAATTATTTGTTTCATATAGACCAAAGGCTAAAAAAATCACATGGCAATATGGAAAATCTTATTTTTATTAAATACCCAATTCAAGAGATGTACGTTCTAGACATTAATCTTGAGGTCTGCCATTACCACAATATTTTCTTAAATGTCATAAGTTCAACCTTTAGAAACAAAGGAGGCAGATGCGGGCTGTGACCCATGAAATCCTCAATGCTTGCCACACACTTGTCAACTGCAAGGCTAATTTTCATGTAACATGCTCAAGTAGCTGATTGTTAACAAAGAAGTAGCTCTAACCAAGAAAGACAATGAGGTCTTATTTTAATGTTTTCTTTTAATACATATTCACGTCCACAATGTTTTTGAATTTCACAGATGGAGAAATGGAGGCATTTAAAAACAAGGATTATGGTCAGAGAATAAATCTAAAAATTGATCTTATTTCTGCAAACTTTCCTCGGGAGTTCTGTCGGTGGCATTTCACTGGGCTTTATTCATTTCTTCTGGGTGACTGCTCATGAACCACAAGTCTGTGGTGTTCTAGGAGGTGACTATTGACCTGGTGGACCGCCCCGGCCCCGTGGGAACTACATGAGCTGAGTTCAGTGTTGCCTGCATCCTGGTGGACTGCCTGGTAGGCACAATAAACACGTGGAAACAGAAAGTTGTTTGCTTTGTGACGGGAAAAAATTCCTGACATTTCTCGAGATGCACAGTGCAGAGAAGTGGACCAAGAACTGCTCAGGGTTGGCCAACGATGCCTGAAAACAAGGCTGGCCTTGGGAAGCAGTCTCACCCCAGCCTTGCTTATTAAACCATCTGCCACCGTGGGACAGTCAAACGTAGCTGTGGGGAAATGTGTCAAGAAGTAGAGTCCCCATTCCAATTTCAAACAATGCAGGCCCTTACCCAACCCTGTGCTTTATTTGGAGGATGAAAATAAACACACCGGCAGGATTGATTGCTAATAACAGATCATATAATGAACTACAAAGGGGTTCTACATCAGGTAGACCACTAACTCCCCCCCACACACACACACACAAACACACAGAGAGAGATTAATTCTTTAGCCAGTTAAGAACACAGACTTGGTAGATTTAAAAAAAAAAAAAACACAAAAAACTCTTCTCTCATGTGTGTGCGTTTGTGTGTGGGTGTGTATATATATATATTAGTTGTAATGAACCTTTATTTTATTTTTTTATTTATATGTGGTGATGAGAATCGAACTCAGGACCTCACACATGCTAGACAAGCGCTCTACCACTGAGCCACAACCTCAGCCTTCTCATGTACTTTTAGTAACAACAACAAAATAGGGGAAGCTTAGCAAAAAATAATCTGATTCTTGGTTTTGAAACACTAGCAATGAAGACTAAGGCCTCATCTGTCCTTGAAGGTGCTGAGCCCAAGCCTTTGCATTAGCTCCTCCTTCTGCCTAAACCCTCTCTCCCCAAGATACCCGACATGTCTAGCCCCTGCTCTTTCTTCAGATCTCTGCCCATCAACAAGATCTTCCCTGCCCATCAGCCACAACTTAAGACTTCATTGCCCTGTTATTGTAACCTCTCTTCCTTATTTTATTTTATTCAAAATGTGTTTTACTCTCTGAATAACAAATACTCACATATTCATAGTCTGTATCCCACCTCCACCAGAGTATAAGATCAGAAGGAGAAGGAATGTTGTAGGTGTTGTTCTCTGTTGTAATTCTAGTACCCAGAACAAAGCCTGGCGCGTGATAGATGCTCAAGGAATATTAAGTGAATGAATAAACGAACAAATGAATTTTGTTGCAATTTGATCTCCCTTCTGTCTATTGTGCAACGTACCTTAATGTGCCAAATTGGCATGTAATTTATGTCAAGCATTAGCCACATAAACAAATGCTTAAGATAGCACCTCTCTGCTTATGAACTGTGACAGACTGTGATTAAAGGTCAGGTTTGAGTGTCTCTAAAAACATTTCATTTTCTCCACTTCTCTGCTCACACAGCCTCCGGGTAGGTAATCCTGTGATGGTCAAGGCTGAAGGGCTGCTGGATGGTCTACCCAAGCCCCAGTTTCCTCAATCTAATTAAAAAATACCACCCACCCCAGCTGCAGCCATTTCAATGGATCTGTAGTGCCTTTTGCCCAAACTTTGGATGCAATGGGGCTGGCTGTGTGGGGGACCAGGTTGAATCAGGACAGTGAATGTAGATCTGGCCTCTAAAATCAAGGATGGCCAAGGTAAGGGAGAAAGAAGGCATACCGAGCTGAGCTGGGTAACTTCTGACCATGGACTGAGTGGGTGGGCCTGCGTGGGCACCTTGGGGACATTTCAAAGGAGCTGGTGCACATCACCTTTAAGCCCAGGCACTGTAAAATGTACCCATTCTGTTTTGCAAATGGTGTTCTCTGCTTAGATTGAAAACAACTTCCATTTCCCCACATGATGAATGAAATGCTGTAAATGGATTTGGCCTTTTAGAAATCATCAGGAGCACAACTTGAAAGGCCTTTTGCCATAAATATGATACAACCAGGGGAACATTCAAAACTCAGCTAGGGATACCAAAAAATTTGGAGTGGGCACTTTTAACTTTAATGTGTCTAATTAGAGGCCCACTTGATGTGTGGAGGCTAGATCTTCAGTGAGGTGCAGCTGATACACATTATTGTTAGTTCTAGGACAGGAGTGCACTGTTGTGACCTGGATGAAACTCAAGGTGTTGTACTTACCACATTTGTTAGTGAAGCGAAGGTGGGAGGGCACTAAAAATAATAAATGACCTCTAGGATCTTGCCTGGGAAGGGGCGGGGCAGGTACTGTACCTTGGCACCCTTCCCCCCAAATAGCTATCAAAGGCAGGGTGCCTCCTTTACTATTTACATGCCCATTCATTTCATAACACATATAATCACATATTTATGTGTTTACTTGCTTATTGGCAGCCTTCACTGATAGATTTTAAGCTCCTAAAGAGGCAGGGACAGCGTCTACTTGGTTCCTGATGGTTCTTGACCCAGTTTCCATGCCTGGCATGAGGTGGGTACTCAGGTCAGATTTAGAGAATGACGAACTTAATGAATGAATAAACTATGGGAAGGATGGAAAAGACAGAACTAAAAAGAAATGGTTTAAAGAACGTGGGTTTCTCACTGACTGCAAACTCACTGGCAGTCAACAAACGATGCTGGGGCAATGGAAGGTAATCTAGAGGTCTAGAACATGGGAAGGAACCGTCCTGCCTGCATCTTCCCTCCTGCCTCTGTGTGTTCCAACTGAAAAGGGACAGGTGCTATGGGGTGAATTGTGTCCTCTTTTGAGGGGACACATACATTCATGTTGAAGAACTAACCCCCTGTAGTCACAATGTGACTGAATTTGGAGATAGGCCTTGAGAGAGGAGATTAAGTTAAAGTCATGAAGGTGGACCCTAACTCAATACTCCTAGAATCTTTATAAAAGGAGGAGATTCGACATAGACACGTACAGAAAGAAGATCATGTGAGGACACAGGGACAAGGTAGCTATTAATGAGGTAAGAGTCGGGCCTTAGGAGGAACCACCTCTGCCAGCACCTTGGTCTTGAATTTCCAGCCTCTAGAAGTGTGAAGAATCATCCAGTCTGTGGTACTTTGTTACAGCATCTCTAGCAAACTAATACATATGAGTAACTCTCTGGCCAACGAGGAGTGTACAGCTTGAAAATGAACTGGGTTGAGAGGGCAACAAGCACTTTCTCCAAATAATTCAACAATTGTTTTATGAGATAAAATAAAAGGGAAAACTTTATGACAAAAAAAAAATCTGAAAATGGGATGAACTCTAATGTATTATAATTTATTTATTAAATGTACTGTTTATTGTCTGATATCTCTGGATAGATATAAACTCTACAAGATCAGGTATAAATGTTCTGAGCAGGTTAATTTCCTTTGGGGATAGTGAGCTTCCTGTCATGGAGGCATGTAAGCAGAAGCTATGCATGTCGTTGAGAAATCTCTTGCAGAGAGCAGGCACATGGTTAGGCTCCTTGAAGGTCATTTGCAAAGTTGGAGTTTCACTTATCTGGTTTTACTTCTACTGATGAATGAGCTAGGTATGTGTCATAGAAAAGGTCCGTAATAAAATACCTGTTCTCATCTAAAGAATCTAGTTAAAGTATCCAGGCTCTGAACTTCTATTTTGCATTTCTTCAACCTGAATATATTATCCACTCATTGTACTTCCTAGGAAAGAAAATAAATTTTAATTAATGCTTAGTGTAAATTGTTTTCTTAAAAGACAGATCTTTTCATTTTTTTTTTTTAAAGGAGATAGACGTTTCTTCTGGTTTCAGTTTGGTTTCTTATGCCTGTTTAATTTAGAGCATGAGTTCCAAGAGCAGAAGACTGCGGGGTCTTAATAAATGTCTAGTGATGAATAATTAATAATTAAAAATTATCATCTTCTTCTCATACTCCCAAGAGGAGCAGCAGATGGTGAATTCTGGCTGAGCCTGATTCTAGCTGTGCCTGTGGCTGCCCATAGATCTTGAAAGAAGCCAGCATTCAAAGAACACAGTGAAACTCACAGGAATCTCATGAATTTTGCTGTTGTTATTCCAAAGGTTCTTTTGGCAGAGACTCCGAGCCAGCAGATGAGCCTGTACTACACTTTCTCACAGCAATTCAGTTAAAAAAAAAAAAAAATTCTAACAGACGACCTTACAGGACACCTTCCTACTTCATATCATGGAAGAATGTGAGTTCAATGTCAATGTCAAGATGTTAGGTTGATCGCAGCTCAGAAATGCAGAGCATGTCAATGTTTAGAAAATTGAAGAGCATAAACTTTTTCTGTAAATACAATTTTTGTTTCATAATTCACTTTGGCAAATGTTTAACATTTTCCTGCTCCCATAAACTTGACTTCTAACTTGCTAAAATTCTGCCATGTGCCAAGAGTGATAGTACATATGGATATAGAATGGCAATTTCTGCAACCCAATACCTGTGTAAGTCTGTACCTTTGTTCCTATTCTAGCTGGATTTCCAAAATACTTAACTTCATAGGGAATATTACTACTCTCAGTGGAACCAAAGACACTATTAATAATGGGTTGGCAACTGGATTTAAAAACTTGCTATGAAATAAGATGGTGAAAAATCAAGCATGTTTACAATCCCAGAAAGTAGTGATCAATGCTACAAGGTAGACTAAATTCTAACAGTCAAATTTCCCACCCCACTCCCATGGCTTTCAGTGTGACCTTAAAGGTATTCAGAGAAATGCTTTGAAAATAAGTTGCTATGAACAGCCCATCTGTTTCCTGTTTCTCTTTATTGTTGGACAGGCAGGTCTAGGCAGGACTGCACTATATACAGAAAATCTGGTTTTCAGGCAGTGTTCATTATTCTGTCCAGTATTTCCCAAACTATTGTATAAATCATTTTTAAGGGGTATTTGAAGGAAAGGGTTTCCTGGTACATTGTGAAGGCTAGAAGCAGCATTTTTATGATGGAAACACACTTGATTTGGATTAGGAGAGTCTGTGGTTCAAGTCCAACCTCACCACCTAACAACTGGAAATCCTGAGCAAGTCACTTACCTTCCCTGTATTTCAGTTCCTGCCCATATGAAATCGGGAATTGATAACACATACCCCTTGGGACTGTAGTAAAGATGGGAACAGACAGTATAGTGGGTACTTTTCATGCATAATGTTGTTTAATCCTCATAACTCCATGACCTTGGTATGTTATCTTATTGGATGAAGAAAATAAGTTCAGAGAATTCAAGGTCACTTATAATAAATACTTGCTTGCCTGATGAAATATAATTTTATAAGCTTTAATAGTTCCAAGCCTGAATACAGATTGTACATACGCTTTCTGGGGAAAAATACCATATCTTAACCAAATAAAAGACATCCACTGAGTGCCTTCTCTGGGCTACTTAATAGGCTACCTCACACCTGTTATTGCACTTAGCCCACACACCTGTGTGCGTGTCTATAAATGAGGGACTGTGCCCATTTTAAAGATGGGAAAACTGAAGTTCATCAGAATCAGGTTATTGACTAAAATGGAAAAGCTGTGGCTCTGGGTTCCAACTCAAGCTTGCTCAGCACACAGCTTTCCTTTATGTGTTTTCATCTTTGCT